ATTTATAGTAAATGAAGGACTCTCCTACGGTTTTTAAAATATACGTAGCAGTAGCACTGAAAAATTGGAAGAGGAAGATCCATGGAATGGGTATAGAGATAAATGATAGGTGCCTGTTTACTCTTCAGTTTGCAGATGATCAGGCCATAGTGGCCAGTGACAAAGAGGACATGCAATATATGATTGGAAGGCTGATAGAAGAGTATCAAGAATGGGACCTGAGAGTTAATATAAATAAAACAAAATATCTATGCGTAGGCAACCAGAACGGAAACTTGGAAGTGGACGATGGTCAGGAAATTCTGCAATGTCAAAAATTTGAGTATCTAGGTATCACATTCGACAACACCGGAACAGACGTGAAAGAAAAGCGAATAGTTAAAGCTAAAAAAGTAATAGGATGCCTAAATGGAATATTATGGAGCAAGGAAATTACAAAGAAGAGAAAATTGAATATCTACGAGACAATGATAAAGAGCAGCCTTCTATATGGAGCCGAGACTTGGAGAATTACAGACAGACAAGAGAAAAAAGTGGAAGCAGTTGAAATGGATGCTATTAGAAGATCCATGCGAATCTCACGATGAGACAGAATAAGGAACGACAATATAAAACAACAAATGGGTATAGAAGGTACGATAGTCCAGGACATTGAAAAGAAACAACTTACCTGGTATGGACACGTAGAACGAATGCCAAATGACAGGTGGCCCAGAAAAATGCTGCACTGGCAACCAACAGGTAGCAGAAAACGAGGAAGACCAAAAGTGGAATGGCAGAAGACCATACAAAAGTCCATGAGTGAAAGAAATCTCTCATCAGAGGATTGCGACGATAGAAGAGGATGGAAATTAGGTGTCGGACGACGGAGAAAGACATTCTAAAACGACATGTATATATATATATATATATATATATATATATATATATATATATATATATATATTAAAATGAAAATCAGTTATCGACCGTACTAATTAAATAATTTGGAGAGGATATCGGGTAACGGTCTGGACTAGTGAAACTCATTTGTTTTTATACTCAATATTTCGTCTTATATTTTAGACTTCATCAGGAGAAACTACAAGAAAAATAATGAATAAAAATATTTTGGTATAAATAACAGAAATGGCAGTTTAAAATGAATTGTACAATAATAAAATAAGGAACAAAAATAATAAATAAATTAAATATTACTTACAACACAGAGCTAGTCGAGATTTTTGTATTTTCCTATTTTTAATAGATTTTGATGTCTTTTTTTTAGAGAAATTTTTTTTTTTTGCCACGAAATTGTCAGTCAAAGTCTACCGAAAAATTAAAATTTCAACTGGTTATTGTGGTATGATCTAAGAATATGAACGTTCCATATAATTTTTACAATAGTAAATTATTGAGTTAGGTTTAAAATATTACAATAGATGTTACTTAATTGGTTAGTATCAGATTTATTATTTAATGAATGTTCTGTTTTTTGAATATAACACATTTCCAAAAAAAGGCGACTTTTATAGTTATTTTCTTTTCTCAAAATTTTTACCTCGTTGAAATTAAACTGATGTCCTGTTTTTTGGAAATGCTCAACAACAGCACAAGAGTTCTTTCCCACTCTACAATCGCTCCGGTGTTGTGTTAAACGTTGTTGGAGCCATTGTGCTGTTTGGCCAACGTAACAACCTTGACATTCCATGCATGGAATTTTGTAAATTACATTATTGTTGTAAAGTAAAGGAGTTTTATCTTTTATTTTAGAGTATAAGTTTCTGATTGTCAAGTCATTGTATTTTGCAATTTTTATGTTAGGAAAGTCTTTAAAGAGTGTTATAATTTGGTGTGAGAAATCCTTAATGACGGCCCAACGGAACCTGAAAATATACAGATAACATACAAAAAACTACCTTACATTAAGGATTTCTCACACCAAATTATAACACTCTTTAAAGACTTTCCTAACATAAAAATTGCAAAATACAATGACTTGACAATCAGAAACTTATACTCTAAAATAAAAGATAAAACTCCTTTACTTTACAACAATAATGTAATTTACAAAATTCCATGCATGGAATGTCAAGGTTGTTACGTTGGCCAAACAGCACAATGGCTCAAACAACGTTTAACACAACACCGGAGCGATTGTAGAGTGGGAAAGAACTCTTGTGCTGTTGTTGAGCATTTCCAAAAAACAGGACATCAGTTTAATTTCAACGAGGTAAAAATTTTGAGAAAAGAAAATAACTATAAAAGTCGCCTTTTTTTGGATGTGTTATATTCAAAAAACAGAACATTCATTAAATAATAAATCTGATACTAACCAATTAAGTAACATCTATTGTAATATTTTAAACCTAACTCAATAATTTACTATTGTAAAAATTATATGGAACGTTCATATTCTTAGATCATACCACAATAACCAGTTGAAATTTTAATTTTTCGGTAGACTTTGACTGACAATTTCGTTGCAAAAAAAAAAAATTTCTCTAAAAAAAAGACATCAAAATCTATTAAAAATAGGAAAATACAAAAATCTCGACTAGCTCTGTGTTGTAAGTAATATTTAATTTATTTATTATTTTTATTCCTTATTTTATTATTGTACAATTCATTTTAAACTGCCATTTCTGTTATTTATACCAAAATATTTTTATTCATTATTTTTCTTGTAGTTTCTCCTGATGAAGTCTAAAATATAAGACGAAATATTGAGTATAAAAACAAATGAGTTTCACTAGTCCAGACCGCTACCCGATATCCTCTCCAAATTATATATATATATATATATATATATATATATATATATATATATATATTAGTAGTTTTTTCTTGGGTTTAGGTTCATAAATGAAACGACTTTTTTATTTCCTAACGTTTCGCCTTTAATTTAAGGCATTTTCAAAGGGATTGTTTTCCTAAAAAAATAAATAATAATTTCACATTAACCTATTCACTAATTATGCAATAATACAAGAATTTTCCTAAAAATGTTTAATACAGTGTACATACCTCGAAAATGTTATTTCTTATTACCAGGTACCATTTTATGTTGTTGGTTTCAAGGTACTAGGTGTTTTGATATGCGACAATAAAGGAACCATGGTATGTATGTTTTTTTTTTTTATTAAAATTTTTATTATATTTAAATTGATCTATTAATATGTGTTCACACTAGATTGAATTTTGCGTCATTTGGGTTCGTTGATGATCTATTTTTTATTAATTATCCGTTGTTATAAGGTTGTTGTAAATTCGACTTAGTCCCATTATGTCAGTTCTGTCATTCACAGCATTTTTTTCTTTTCTAATTTCTATCATTTCTTTGATCATTAATTTATGAAAATTGTTGTCTTTGTTTAATATTGTGGTATTGTTAAACGCAAAACAGTGATTTGAATCTTTCATGTATTTATCCAATGCAGTGTTGGCATTTTTAGTGTATTTATGTCCATTTAGTCTGTTCTTTACAAGTTGAGTGGTCATGCCAATGTATTTTTTGGGACAATTTTCACAGGGGATTGAGTAGACCACATTCGAATCTTTCATAATTGGCGTTTTACTTTTTAGTTTCGTAAAAAGGGAGTTTAAATTATTTTGGGATTTGTGGCATACTTCTATGTCATGCTTTTTCAGACAGCTTTTCAATTTTTCCGATAACTCAGCTGTGTATGGAATAGAGATATATCGTTTTGGGTTATTGGTTTGAGTGTCTTTTTTAAGATTAATTTTATTATAATGTTTGTAAGTTCGTTTTTTAATTATTCGGTTTATATCAATTGTAGTAAAACCATTTTTGATAAGTGTTTCTGTTACTTTCTTTAAAACTTCTGGTCTAAATTGGGGAGAAGTGAGAGCAATAGCACGATCTGTTAAGCCAATGATGACACTCAGTTTTTGATTTTTTGGGTGGTTTGAGAAGAAGTTTTGATATCTACCTGACCATGTTGGTTTAGTGTACCATTTAGTTGAAATTCTATTATTATTGCGTTCTAATGTCATATCTAGAAAATTAATTTTTTTCTCTATTTCTACCTCTGAAGTGAATTGAAGTTTTTTATGGAAATTATTAAAGGCATCAAGGATTTCTTGAACTTTTTCATTTGGTACAGCCATCAAACAGTCGTCTACAAATCTTTTGAAAAATAATATATTGAAATTCAATTTTTCAATCACTTTTTGTTCCAAATATTCCATGACTAACTGTGCAATAGTTGATGAACTGGGAGAACCCATCGCACATCCATCTAGTTGTTTATAGAAAGAGTCATTAAATTGGAAATAGTTCAAGTTTAGAGTTAGGTCAATTGCCTCCAAAAAACTTTCTTTTGACATTGTTGTGTGTTCCTTGATCAATTCCCATTTTTCGGAAACAATTACCTGAACTAGATCGTTTGGAATATTTGTATACAGAGACACTACGTCTAATGATATTAATTTGTAGTTATTTGGTATATTTATAGAGTCTATAAATTGTTTAAATGAATAGGAGTCTTTTATAAAATAGTCACTTTTGTTGGTTATATTTGAAAGTGTACTTGATACGTACTTGGATAATTTATAAAATGGTGATTTAACATAAGAAACAATAGGTCTCATGGGAACATTTTTCTTATGTAGTTTGGGTAAGCCATACAATTTTGGTGGATTTGCATTGTGTATGCTTAGATTTTTGGCTTCCGTTTCTTGTATCTCCTTTTTATTTAAAACTTTTTTGATGAAGGAATTGTTTTTATTTTGAAAAATATTAGTGGGATCGTTTTTCATTTTTTTGTATGTGTTAGTGTCATTTAATAGACATTCCATTTTGGTTTCGTAGTCAGTTTTATTCATTATAACAGTCTTATTGCTTTTATCTGGTTTCAATATTACGATCTGTGGATTAGCTTTAAGGAAATTTTTTGTTTGATTTAGATGTTTTGTAATATTATTTTGAGTTGTATTGCTTTTAAGTTTTTTATGTCTAATCTTTATTTTGTGATTGGTAATAATGTTAGTTATTTCACCTCTAATACTGTCTTTTGTTTCATTATCTTTGTCTTTGATTGCTGTTTCAATTGATGTGATATATTCAGTGATTGGCAATTTTTTTTCTTGTGTTATATTTAGACAGAAGTTTGGACCATAAGACAGAACATTGGCTACTTCATCTGGGATTTGAGTGTCTGAAATGTTATCCAGCCAGTTTGGTGGATTTTTATTCATATTTTTCAAAGTTATATCATTGTTGACTATATTGTTGAACTTTTTTTGGTGTTTAACTTTAATTTTGGTAAATAATTTTTCAGTTTTGCATTTTTCAAATTGTAAAAAAGTATTAAAAATTTCAGGTGATAATAAGTTTTTTAATTTTTCACTGCATAATTTTTGCGTTTTTTCTAAACTATTTATTTCTTTAGTTGCCTCAGTGATAGATAAATTGAGAATGTTTAGCTTTGTTTTGAGGATTATGTTATTAAACTTTTTTTCGAGGTACATACCTGTGAATTTTATATGTTTTACATTAAATTTCAAAAATACAGGAAAAATTTCGTTGTGTTTGCATCTCAATAAGAATATTCTTCGGTTTTTCTGTGTAGTAAGCCTTGTGTATAATTTGGAAAGTTCTTTTGCACAATTTAAAGCTTCAAGTCCGTAAATTAGTTGAATTTCTTCAAAGAATGTCATAGTTGTTTACGTTGTTTAGCAGTTTCCACCCTTGCTATTAATTATTGATTTGTTTTCTTGAACCGTAGGTAATATATTAGTAGTTTTTTCTTGGGTTTAGGTTCATAAATGAAACGACTTTTTTTATTTCCTAACGTTTCGCCTTTAATTTAAGGCATTTTCAAAGGGATTGTTTTCCTAAAAAAATAAATAATAATTTCACATTAACCTATTCACTAATTATGCAATAATACAAGAATTTTCCTAAAAATGTTTAATACAGTGTACATACCTCGAAAATGTTATTTCTTATTACCAGGTACCATTTTATGTTGTTGGTTTCAAGGTACTAGGTGTTTTGATATGCGACAATAGAGGAACCATGGTATGTATGTTTTTTTTTTTTTTTATTAAAATTTTTATTATATTTAAATTGATCTATTAATATGTGTTCACCTAGATTGAATTTTGCGTCATTTGGGTTGGTTGATGATCTATTTTTTATTAATTATCCGTTGTTATACGGTTGTTGTAAATTCGACTTAGTCCCATTATGTCAGTTCTGTCATTCACAGCATTTTTTTCTTTTCTAATTTCTATCATTTCTTTGATCATTAATTTATGAAAATTGTTGTCTTTGTTTAATATTGTGGTATTGTTAAACGCAAAACAGTGATTTGAATCTTTCATGTGTTTATCCAATGCAGTGTTGGCATTTTTAGTGTATTTATGTCCATTTAGTCTGTTCTTTACAAGTTGAGTGGTCATGCCAATGTATTTTTTGGGACAATTTTCACAGGGGATTGAGTAGACCACATTCGAATCTTTCATAATTGGCGTTTTACTTTTTAGTTTCGTAAAAAGGGAGTTTAAATTATTTTGGGATTTGTGGCATACTTCTATGTCATGCTTTTTCAGACAGCTTTTCAATTTTTCCGATAACTCAGCTGTGTATGGAATAGAGATATATCGTTTTGGGTTATTGGTTTGAGTGTCTTTTTTAAGATTAATTTTATTATAATGTTTGTAAGTTCGTTTTTTAATTATTCGGTTTATATCAATTGTAGTAAAACCATTTTTGATAAGTGTTTCTGTTACTTTCTTTAAAACTTCTGGTCTAAATTGGGGAGAAGTGAGAGCAATAGCACGATCTGTTAAGCCAATGATGACACTCAGTTTTTGATTTTTTGGGTGGTTTGAGAAGAAGTTTTGATATCTACCTGACCATGTTGGTTTAGTGTACCATTTAGTTGAAATTCTATTATTATTGCGTTCTAATGTCATATCTAGAAAATTAATTTTTTTCTCTATTTCTACCTCTGAAGTGAATTGAAGTTTTTTATGGAAATTATTAAAGGCATCAAGGATTTCTTGAACTTTTTCATTTGGTACAGCCATCAAACAGTCGTCTACAAATCTTTTGAAAAATAATATATTGAAATTCAATTTTTCAATCACTTTTTGTTCCAAATATTCCATGACTAACTGTGCAATAGTTGATGAACTGGGAGAACCCATCGCACATCCATCTAGTTGTTTATAGAAAGAGTCATTAAATTGGAAATAGTTCAAGTTTAGAGTTAGGTCAATTGCCTCCAAAAAACTTTCTTTTGACATTGCCAATCACTGAATATATCACATCAATTGAAACAGCAATCAAAGACAAAGATAATGAAACAAAAGACAGTATTAGAGGTGAAATAACTAACATTATTACCAATCACAAAATAAAGATTAGACATAAAAAACTTAAAAGCAATACAACTCAAAATAATATTACAAAACATCTAAATCAAACAAAAAATTTCCTTAAAGCTAATCCACAGATCGTAATATTGAAACCAGATAAAAGCAATATGTATTTGGTTGATAGTGGACTGTATAAATTGCTGAATAAATAAGATGGTAAACTTTTATTTTGATGGTTTATTGTACAAACTAGGAAATATTCGTTACAAACAAAAAGGTAATATTCATTAGGTATTAATTAGGTAACGGCCCAATTAAGGACCGATTGAGAAGATGGAGACCCTGTCTTCATTTTACTTGTAAAAAGGTAATGTTTACTGTTGAACTCTACAGAACCGAATGACTATCCTTGTCGCGCGCGCTCAATCCTTGGTTGGCGCTGCCAATTGCGGACGACTTGGAACTAAGATATTGCCAAGGATAATGCGAAATTTAAATTAAAATAATATTTTTTTCTGATTTAGGCCTTTGGGTATGAACATTCCGCCGACCTTGAAATACACACATTTCAAAAATAATAACGCAAAACATAACTTCAAATTGCCTTAAATTAATGTTGTCAAATTACTAACAAATGCTTAAAGCTAATGATCTAAAACTAATAGCAAGGCTTCAAATTAGCCAGATTAATTATTCCGCACTGGTTAATTCACCGAAATCACTGTAAATTGGTAGTGGACACACTTTAGTCAGAGCACGTTTGGCAATTGTTCCATTACCGAATCGCACACTAACGACTCTTGTCACTCCATCTTCACCTGGGAACAGCTGATTCACCCGCGCAAGCTTCCATTGCAAAGGTGGTAAGTTATCGTCCTTGATAATGACAAGGTCTCCCGTCTGGATAATACTGGATCCCATCTTTTTCCATTTCTGTCGAGCTTGTAGTTCTGAAAGGTACTCCTTGTACCAGCGATTCCAGAAGTGCTGAGTCATCTGTTGAAGTCGTTGATACTTGGATAATCGGCTTTCCTTAATATCACTAACATCTGGATCTGGCAATGAGACTAACGGTCTCCCAATAATAAAATGGCCAGGAGTTAAAGGACATACATCATCTGAACTTGATGATAATGGACTAAGTGGTCGTGAATTCAGCACGGCTTCGATTTGCTGTAGTACAGTCGTAAAGTCTTCAAAGTCTAAATGAGTATTATCGACCACGCGTTTCAAATGTTGCTTGAAGCTCTTTACTCCGGCTTCCCAGAGTCCACCGAAATGTGGTGCTCGTGAAGGAATGAACTGCCATTTCACCCCCTCATTGGCCAAATTACATTTTACAAAATCAGAATTGCTTTTCAAAAAAGTCTTAAGTTCAGAATTAGCCCCAGTGAAATTGGTACCATTGTCTGAAAAAATGCTTAAAGGTTTTCCCCGTCTTGCTATAAAACGCCTTAATGTAGCCAAAAATGCCTCACTACTCAAAGTTGTGACTGGCTCTAGATGCACAGCCTTTGTCGCCATACAAACAAAGATACAGACATAGGCCTTAATCAATTTATGGCCGCGTGTTTTCCTATCCTTGAGTAAAAAATAACCAGCGTAATCGCACCCAGTATTAAGAAATGGACTACATTGATTTAGTCTTTGAGACGGTAAATTTCCCATTAGATAATTGCACGGTTTTGGCTTGACCTTAAAACAAGTAACGCATCTATGTACTGTCCTTCGGGCTAAATTTCTGCCTGATAAGGGCCAAAAATGTTCGCGCACTGAATATAAAAGTTGTTGTGGGCCGCAATGCATCAATCGCCAATGTTCCCTAATAAATATTAAAGTAGTCAACTTATGATTATTGTGTAAAATAATTGGATGTTTATTTGAGAATGGTATATTTGCCTTCTGAATTCTTCCTCCTACACGCATTACGCCATCGTGCATGAAAGGATTAAGTGATAACAATTTACTGGAGTTACTAACTGATCCCTTATTTTTTAAATCATTGACTTCAGCTTGAAAGGATTGTGCTTGAGAAAGTTTTACTAAATTAATTAATGCATCATCGATTTCCTTTGACTCTAATTCGCTCAGCAAACGCTCAGATTTTTTGCATCTTACATTTGATGCAAATCGTCGGAGTAAAGCTACAATACGCAATAATTTTGTCAAGGTTGAATAATTATCGAATAATTTTAAATCATTTTTTGGTAAAACTACTAAATTAACTTGAAGTTTTTGTTCCGGAATTTCCTCCTCACTGATTACTTCATTTTTTGGCCAACAAAAACTAGAAGATTTTAACCACTGAGGCCCTTCAAACCAAAAAGAATTATTGATAAGAGATTCTGCAGGAATACCGCGAGATATTAAATCCGCAGGATTATCCTGTGACCTAACATGAAACCAATCTTTTACATTAGTCTTATTTTGAATATAACCTACTCTGTTTGATACAAACTTTTTCCATCGCTCGGGAGAACCCTTAATCCAACACAGGGTGATTGTTGAATCGCTCCAATAAAAGCATTTGTCAAAATTTATATTTAAAGATGTTTTAACCTTTTCTGCTAATTTACAACCTAGGGCAGCAGCAGTCAACTCCAACCTAGGTAGAGTAACTGGCCGCACAGGAGCTACCTTGCTTTTTGCTGTAATTAATCTACATGAAAATTCATAATCGTTTATTTGGCAACGAATATAAGAGCAAGCTCCATATGAAGCTTCTGAAGAGTCTGAAAAGGTATGTAACTCAATATAGGTAGGATTTTTAATAAAAACATGTCGAGGAATCTTTATTTTATTGATGTGTATTAAATCCCTACAAAAGGAAATCCATTTATCGCGAATATCACCTAAAAGTTCTTCGTCCC